CACCGACATTAGCTATATTTTTAGCAAGGAAAAACTCATGCAAATAATTTTAAAATCCAATAGTAGAGATGTTCATGATGAAAAGTGAATGTGCCTGGTCCCACCTCAGAGCATCCCTGGTCCCTCAGTACCTTCTGCTTTTAGCTCTTTGCATATCTCTAAGTCATATGCTGCTGTTTTTTCATTTATAAACTTTAGATGTTATCTATTTATTTTTTTACATGATAAATGAAGATTTAGTTCATCTCACTGGCCTTCTTTCTTTCTCACTTCTTCCCAATATAGTTGTATCTTTTTTGTCAGTACATTTATTGGATTCCTTTTTCACTGTAACTAATATGCATGAGCTTTTACCGTTGGTCTGTCAACTGTATGTAAAATGTCTTGCTCCCCCACTTTGTAAGATGAAGATGTTGGCTCCGCAATTCTTTCTTCTATTTCCTTTCCATCTCCTAAATTTTCCTGTATTTTTCTTTAATTCGTCAGAGTTGATAATACTTATTTGGTAATCACAATAAAGACCTTTGTGCTTTACCTTTAAGTTGATTCCATAAGTTGAAAACTAGCAAACATTATTATTATTATAGTGGTATAAATATTGTTTATACAAAGCTAAATAGTGTACTGTGATAGCGTTTCTTTCTATATAGCTCCAATGTCTCCCTTTTGTGCTGCACAAAGGAAAATGGATTCTCTCTTCTTTCCAAGCCCAGTTCTCAAAATCAGACCACATGTTACTTTGTTTCATTTTTGGACTATGTAATCCTTGAACACTGTTTGCTAGAGTTTCTGATTGGGTCTTTGTTTTCCTTGCTGTAAGAAGAAACACATCTTCTTCCCCTACTGCTGTTATTACTATTTCCAAGCTTCTTACACATTCTGTCTATTGCTTGGAATCCATTCCATTTTTTCTTCTTGAACCTACTAATTTCCTTTTCTGATAGGGATTCATTGTGGCGTGTATGAACCATGACTTTCTTGTGCGATTTTATCATTGTGGGTGTCCTTCTCAACCCAAGCATATTCCTTTTCATACTGAGTCTTTGTGTCAGTGCTTTCCTGGGTTGGATCCACATTTTCCTGGATTTCACTTACTCTTCTGAGAGTCCTAATTTACTAGACCTACACAACTCCACCCACACGCTCATGTTCTAAAATAAATAAGATCACATTCTTTATTGACTTCCCTGTACAACCTAGGAGAACTTGGAAACAACCAGCATGCAACACTACCATTTAATAGTATACACCGACTGACTTTTCTGCTGATGTGTGCTCTGTATTTAAAAATAGTTGTCTCTTTCTTCTTCTGTGAAACCTCCTTAGGTATATTGATTTCAAGGACACCAGGTAGACTTCTACCACCAAAATTATTTGTATGCTTTTATGTTCTTGTAACATTTGCTGATTCCTGTTAGAAAGAAAAGAGATGTACAGGCTACAAGGATAGCTGACAATGAAAACTACTTTCCTTGGGCACATGCCAGACAGTTTTCTTCATACATTGGGGACACAGGACCTATATTACCAATGAAGAGATTAATAAAAGACAAACATTTTTTAAAGGGCTCTCTCTCTTTCCCGTCCCCAAATTACATTATACAGCTAGAATCTTGGAAACGCTTTTGCTCTCTTGTCAAAGATCCTTACTAATGCATTGTGCACTGTCTTGTCCTCCCCAGGCCCTCAGATCCTGCTGATTGCAGTCTTCACTCTCGCGGGGACTGTGGTACTGCTCCTGCTCATTGCCCTCCTGGTGCTCAGGTACCCCTCTCCTGCCCATACTCATCATCCAGAGAGGGAGAGGGCCTGAGGGGAGAGGTCTATTGTCTGTTGATGATAATGTATGTGCACAAAGAGGTCTCTAGACTGATCTAAGATAATGAAGGCTTCTGCATCAAAGACTATATCAATGGCAGAATATTATTGAGAGAAAAGATTAGGGCTTTGGAGTCAGAGGCACCTGAACTCAAATCCCAGTTCTGTGATTTACTAGTTCTGGGGTCTTAAGCATGTAACTTAGCAACCTAAACAGGTTACTTAGCTTCAATTTCTTCATCTCAGCTGGGGATTAGAAATGGGGCATATGTAAAGACTACCATATAATAAGCATTAGATCAATGAAAATAGTTATTTTTACTGTTGTATTGGTATATTGTGGGAGATTTCAAAATTGTTATATTACAAGATATTTTGATTAGAAGAGGTTTTAGAAGTAATCTGTTCCAAGTCCCCTATGTTAGCATGGGGGAAAAAGAATCTAGAAAGCCAAATGGCTTGTCTAGAATCATATCGCCAGGTAGTGGGTGGGGCCAGAACTAGAACTCAGGACTCTGATCATCAGTTCCGTGATTTTTCTACTCGACTCAGGCATATCAAGTGCCTAGCCAGAGGCATGGTGTGTACTAAGAAATATGTGTTGAATGTATAAGTGAGTGAGTATATACCACACCACTTCCTAATTTGTATATGTTAAACACAGAACTTTCTATACCCAACATATCAGGATCAACTGCATTTCCTTACTAAACCAGACAACAATTTTCTCTGTGCACACTTTGGTCTTGTGCCACTGTATTTTCTCATAATTTGAGTGCCCAGCCATCCACATGCCAGGTGACATATCTCCAGGAAAGGAAGTAGACGATTTTCTTCAATTTGACAGCAGAGCTTGACTCCTGTAACTGTGTTGCTCAGAAATATAGACAATGATCTACGGTGTGTGGCAACCATTTAGTTGAGAGTGAGAAGAACCCAAAATTTCCCTCAGAAACCAAGTCCAAATGGGGATCAGCTTAAGATAGGGGTAAAGTACAAGATGAAAGATGGTAATGGGGATTTCCCATTGTCTCTGAGCATGGGTGGCAGAGATAAGGCTTCCTAATGGCCAGAGCAATGATGTGTCCATGAGACCTGGAAGACAGATGCTACTCATGTAGTTTTCCATTATACAGCCTACCCCAAAAAAACGTTAATAGCAATTTATGGAATCCCCTTATTCAGTATGAATGACAATTGGCCCTTCTGAGTCCCAAGAATTTCCTGGAGTAAAGAAATGAGAGGCTGGGAGCCTTCAAGGTCTTGATATTCATCCTACTTGCCTCCAGGTCTTAGGGCCATAATAATTGGTCAATAATATGCTACTCTATGTGCGTTTAATAGAAGAATACTCAACAGTAGATGGAAACATAGGAATAGAATAATCATTTCTGCTTAGGGGACATTAAGAAAGGCATTATGAATGACCTTGAGAAGGTGAGTGGGAGTTTATCAAATGGCCAAAAAGCAAAAGGCAAACTCAGGGACAAACAGGTCAATGGAAAAGAATATCGACTCCAGAATCAGACACAAGCAAGTATGGGAACCTGGAATCTTCCAGAGATGAGATTGTAAGTCAGTAAATGATGTTGGAACAGTAGGTTTTCCACATGTAAAAAATAAATTAAAACCCTACTTGAAACAATACACAAAGACACAGTCCATTCTACATGGAGTTTTAAATGGTAAAGACCAAAATATGAAAATCAAACTTCAAAACTTATAAGAAATTAATAGAAAATGACTTTATGGTCTCAGATTAGAGAAGTACTTCTCAGTCAAGATGAAAAAGAAAAGTCATAGAAGGAAAAATATATAAATATGGCCATAATAAACCAAAATTTTCCATATAACAAAGTTGAAAGAAGCAATAAACTAGAAGAAGGTATTTGCAACACTAAAGGACAAAGGATTTGTTTTTCAGCATGTATAAAGAACTCATGTAAGTTAGTAAAGATAAGAAAAAAATTATGCAATAGGAAAAATTATGAATAGATAATTCTATGATTCCATATATTCTATAAAATAGCTAGAAAATGTTTGAAAAGATAATTTCTCTGGTAATCAAGAAAATGCAAAATAAAGGGACAATGAAATTCCATTGCACATACATCATAAAGGTGAAGTTTAACAATAACAAATGTTTCCAAGCACATAGAAAACTTGAATTCTCAAGATGGGAAGGTAACTTGATACTACCACTTTGAGAAGCAATTTGGCATATCTGTAAAATTGAAAGTGTATGTCCCCTATAATCCAAGGATTCTGCTTCATCTATACTATCTGAATGAAACAAGTATGAAATTTTGTATCTTGGGATACATGTTATTACATTTTCTCTATACTTTTTCTTTTTTAAAAGACATTTTCCAAGGCACAGATGCATAAGAGGATCTGGCTAATTTAGGGTTCTGGTGTATTCTCTGGTGTTTCAAAAACTAACATTTTTGCCTCTCAAGGTTATCAGTTTTAAATTTTTTTCCTCTGTTTTTTCCTTCACTATTTCCACATCATCAGTTCAGATCCTTTGTTATAGTGAAGGACTACTTTAGTGAAGTGCCTGGGAAAGTGAAGTGAAATGAAAAGAAAATATAATGCCCATCAGGAGTCCTTGCAGGTCCACTCATGGCCAGCACTTGACAGTTTGGAGAACATGGAGTTACATCATTGGGCTACCTTCCCTCGCAACACATCTACCTGAGAATACCAGGGTTCTAAATTTCTCCTGGTGTTTGGAAGCTGAATGGTATGGATCCTAATAAAAACCTATTAACTGGTTCTATTTTTTTCCACAGAAAATATAAAAAAGGTCATCAACTTCGTCAGAAAAAATGGTCCCACATTCCTCCTGAAAATATCTTTCCTCTGGAGACCAATGAGACCAATCATGTTAGCCTGAAGGTAAAGCCTACCTTACCTGTTGAAAGGTAGTGGTGCAATTTGCCAGGTATTTGACAAGGCTTTGATAGTATGGTAGGAAATGCGCCAAACAGGGATAGTTTGCTCTCGAATCCAAGACATAGATATTTTCCAATTTTCAGTTTCCTACCTTTCCCTTGTTTCTTCCTTGCCCCAAATGTCAGCTAGTTGACCCACTGAACACTTCAGTGGAGGCTGAGATGTAGTCTGTTCTAATTCCTTGCATCTGACCCAGAAGAGAAATGCACATATTGGGAATTTGTCATGGAAGGGATACAGGAATGGGTAGAGCATTTGCGTTCTCCTATACCTTGGATACTCATCTACCCATATTAAGAAACTAGGACTGCCTTATTCATTGCTGAGGAAAGAAGCTGCCACTGATATTTGCCCACATTCTCCCTCAGCCAGGAAATACCAGCAGCAGCCAGTAATAACAACTTACTCCCATTTACTACAGTCAATGCTAGGCCTATGTTGTCTCATCTACTCCTCACAAGAAACTCATGAGTTAAGCTTTATCGTCATAATTTTGCTGATGAGGAAACTTAAGAACAAAGAATTAAGAAACAGTGCAGTGTCACGTATAACTAGTGAGCAAGATTACCTCAGGTAATAACAGCTAACGCTTCCTGAGCACGTATTATGTGCCACATGCATTAACTCAGTTCATCTTCCCCTGAGCCCTGTGAGGTAACAGAGCTGGATTCCAGGAATATAGCTACAATTTGAACCCAGTCTGTCTAACTAAGATCCTAACACCTACCATACATCACCTAATTATGAGAGTTTTTATACCAAAGCATACTAAGAAGATATGAAAACCCAGGACCTCCACAGAAGGGAATTCGTGGACTCCCTCAGAGGAGGGCAAAACCAGTAGGGTGGTGTGATTTGAGATGCCTCCTTGCCTAAAATCAGCAGGAATAAAATTGTAGCCAGGGTAGGTTTGTCTTTGGTGCTTTGCTACCGGCTCTTGACACTCCTCCCCAAGTCCTGCATGCTGCCCTTTAATGACTCAGAGCCCCCCACAGCTACACATGGACTAAGACTTCCTTTCCTTCAGAAATGCTACATGCTCCAAAGTAGCCCTCCTACTACATTCTGAACCTCATGCACAAAACTTTTATTCACAAAGACCAATCTATCACACATAAGTGTCAGGATAAAATCAGTCTCGCCGTAATTCATGGTAAGGTGTAAATGATCACAAGACTATTGGATTAATAGGGACAGAATCTGTTGACCTAAATGACTAATGGGAAGTACCTAGTATTGAAAGAAAAGATTTAGACAGATTAAGCAAAATTTATTTGAGCAAAAAGTGATTCACAAACTGGGCAGCATTCAAAACTGAAAGAGATTCAGAACTCTCCACTCTACAGCATGGGCAATAAGCTTTTATAGGTTGTACAAAGAAGTAAAATACACAAATAACTTTGTTGGTTATAGCCAGGCATTTGCCTTATTTGGGTATGGTCTGATCAGTTGGCTGCCTTTGATTGGCTGAAATCCAGCTATCTGTTACAAAAATATATTCCTAAATTAGGTTTGAGTTTGTTTATGTAAGAAGTTTGATAGCTGTTATATAAGAACTCAAAATACAGAGAAACCCTCATGCCAATGGGCTCCTGCTCATTTAATTTAATACCAGGAAGAGGAGAGACCTTCAGGAGTGAGTGCCCCTGTGTCTCTGTAGGACACCTGGCTCTACTCCTCAGACACTTCTCCACTCCTCAAAATCTCATATTTCGTATTTGTTCTTTTGAATTAAGCCTAAAACACTTGTGTCTCTCTGTTTTCTTAAAATGTAAATATTCCCAGAAGTATAACCCATCTATCCTTTGTCAGGTTCTGTATAGAATTTTTACAAGTACATAATTTTTATTAGTTAATTTCTCAGATTAGCCACTCACTTGGCTAAGGAATAGATCTTTAGTACAGTAAACTCAAAGGAGGGAAGTCAGAAATGATTCAGAGCATGGGTACCATTGTTACTCTGAGGTTCAGACAGGCTGGGGAGCAGGCAGACCAGGAACCAGTTGTCCAGAGGGGCCATCAGGTGCCACAAGTCAGATAGAACATGGAGAAAACCCAAGGTCAGCCAAGATCATAAAGAGTGGAAAATACCATACAGCCAGACAGGTAGTCGTTCAAGTTCTGAATATTCACTGAAGGCAAATAAGGAAGAAAGACTAAGGCATGAGATGAAAAAGAGTTAAACATCCCAGAACTAGAACAGACAGGGTCAGAAAAACAGACCAAGGAATCCAGACAGAAAGATAAGTCAGGAGAGTCCAAGGGACGGAGTAATAAACAGAAAAAATTATAAAAGATGATGATAAGTCATTTGAGGAGAAAAAAGAGAAGTCCTTTAGCTTGCAAGAAAATTTCACAAACTTTGTCTCTTTGGATCCCTAAATATCCCTGTGAGTTAGAATTGCCCAGGAAGGAACTGAGGTTTGAATAGTTTAAATCACCTCATCGAGTTCTGAAACGGTAAAAAGAACACCAGATAAGCAGACAAGCCTAGGTCCTGCCTGCCCCTCTCTTCTTATATGATATTTAATGCCATTTAACCCTTCTATACCTCATTTGTTAAATGATAAGGCAACGTGATGATAACTGACGCTCATTAATCTGCACTGTGCCAGGCATCATCCTAGGAACTTGATATAATTATGTCACTCACATTTCAAAACAGCCTGGTAAGGTAAATTTTAACACAGATAATAGTAAATCCCAGGTTTTTATGAGAATCAAATTGAAAGATGCAAAAGTTTCCAACCTTTTCTCTGTTTCTAGACCAGAGAAGTCATTAACTGGCAAGTCGAGAGACTTACCTAGCCTGCAGCAGTGTGCGCATGTGAAATTTTGTTCAATATTTCACTTTTTAAGTTCATTGCCAGCATATCCATATTACCAGCCTCTTTCGACAAATCAGGTGAACTGGCAACTGTGGGCTGAACCCAGAGCTGATGAGACTGCTCCCCTTGGACACAGCTGGTTTCCTCATTTGCACTGCTATGGGTGCCTTTAGACAGGAGTTTGCAACTCAAATGCACAGCACCCTTCCCTAAGAGCATCTGTCTGTAGCCACAGACAACAATTCGCAATAAAAAGAGGATGGGAGAGAAGGGAGCAAAGAAAATCCCTGGCTGAAGTAAGGCTGCAAGAGGAAGGAAGGGAACCCAGAGTCAAACATGGCGGTGGTAGATACCTGGGAAGACGATGTTGGAGTGAGAACGCAAGTAGGGAGAGGGAAAGAAAAGACAATCAGGACGGTTTTTCTTGGAGCCTGCCCCGCAAGCTGTTGAGCAAACAGCAGATCCGGCCCACCTGGAAGAGTCTCTCAGCCTTTGGTAGTAGATGGGAGAAGAAATGAAGCTTATGCAATAATTAGCCTTTTCTTGTACCAGATCGACGATGACAAGAGACGAGATACAATCCAGAGGCTACGACAGTGCAAATACGACAAAAAGGTGACCTCTCCCACTTCTCTGAACTTTCAGCTGGGGTATGTTCTGGGCCTTCTGAGCCCTGGCTGTCCCAGTCCCTGATGTCAACATCCTGACGGTGGGGGTGCCCAGGTTGCTCCGAGGGGCGGTTCTTGGATCTTCACAGGGATGTGCAGGGCTATGCTTCAAGGGTTGCAAAACTCACAATCCTGGGGAAATTGAAGGACAAATCAAATTTGGGGGAGGATTGGCGTGCAGGAAGGAAAAGGAAATATAAAAGAGATTCAGCACAGTCAGGGCAACCCTGCTATTATATTTTGACTCATTGCTAAGAAATATGACAATCTCATATGGGGGGTTTGCATCCTTCCTTCCTTTCTTCCATTTCCTTTGGTCTTTCTTGAAGAAGCATTCCAAACTGAGCCTACCATATCCCAGGTACTAGGCACTAGGTATACAAACATCAGTCAAATACTGCCACTGCTTTCAGGAGCGTACAGTCTTATGGGACATGCAAGCAAATTATTATAATATACACATAAGAAATTACACTACAAAAGTATTTTCTTCATTCAATTGATCTTTGCAGCGAGTGATTCTCAAAGACTTCAAGCACAATGATGGCAACTTCACGGAGAAACAGAAGATAGAATTGAACAAGGTATGTATCCTTTCCTTCAAACCCTTGAGAAATAACTTTACTTCATTTTTCCTAAACACGGAGGCCCAGCAGAGTAAGCTGCCTCTGTGGATGCTGACAGAGAAGCCCTCAGGCTAAGAAATGGACGACTGTGCTTCTTGTTGAAAATTCTTCCAGGAGATATTGAAGAGTGAGGTTTGATTGTGTAAAGCACTTTGGAAATCTACTAGTGTTTCCTACAACATGGCCCTGGTAGTATCTAAAAAGGTTTAAAGCTTGTATTCAAGTCCCCTTGCTAACAAAGGAAAGACTGGTGGGTAAGATGGAATGTTTAGTAAGAACTGGGTACTGACACTCAATTTATTAAGGCAAAACACATTTTATTGGTATATTAATTTTTACTCTGATATCCCATTCTGGCTGATTTGCTTTGTAAACACATATTCTCCTAGTTGCTTCAGATTGACTATTACAACCTGACCAAGTTCTACGGCACAGTGAAGCTTGACACCATGATCTTTGGGGTGATCGAATACTGCGAGAGAGGATCCCTCCGGGTAAGAGACCATGATCGTTTCCAATTTCCTACGCAATCATATTAAAAAATATTCAGCATGCCTTTTAAAATATTCACCCAATGAAATAATATTAGAGAATTATAAGGAAAAGTTGGTGGGCCCACATGCTTTCCAAACTAGATCACTCAGATTTTATCACTCGGTTCTATTATATCTTTACAAACAAACCAACAAATATTCAGAAAAGAATAGCAGATTTGAGAGGAAAAGAAACAGAGAACGGAAGTGGAAAAGTAAGTAGTTACTTCCAAATACACTGTATTTTACTTGAATACTTGCTTTTGTAATAAAAGAGAAATGAATGGTGCTGTTATGAAAGCACCAAATAAGCATTGGAAGAATTGTTCATAAGTCCTGGTTCTGCTACTGTCTAAACTCCTAACCTGCTCTCTCCCGTGAGGGACCAAGGAGAACCCAGGAGTTGCCAGATAAGGTCAGATATCCTGGCTGAGCAAGTCCAAAGTAGGCAGAGGAATTAAGACAGGACTGAGTCAAGTTCATGAGAAGAACCAAGCATTAAGCTAAGAATATCAAATCATCTCATCATTCAGATGGGCAAATGTAGTTCATATACAAAAATCACAAAGTCAGGTATCAAGTAGAAAGAGGACTGGACTGGGAAAAGAGCAAGAACAGGAAAGAATCCAGGATGATGGCTTCAAATAGCATTGAAACATTTGCCCCTCACCCTGAGCATGTGCTGTGAGGGCTTTCAGCCTTTTAGGTACCTTTGCGTAGGGTGACCATATGATTTATCATAATACTTTAAGAGAGAAGGGTATACTAAAGTAGTTCTGTTGAAACAGTAAACATAAACTGTAACTGGCCCAAGCAAATCAGGATATGTGGTGACCCAGCCTTTGGACTACATTCAGAGCCAGTACTCTTAGTAACCTCATGTCCTCCCCCCATAGCAGAGCTGGAATCCTAAGACCAGTGTCAGCAGAAGCTCTGGCAGCTTCAAAGATGTCCAAATATTCATATTCAAAAATATTTAAAAATAATAATTTGTTGAAACTAATGATTTGAAAATATTTAATTTTTCAATAAGTTTCAGTTTTAAAAAAAGGCAAGAATAGTGTCTTTCAAAATGTGTGGTAGAAGCTCAAACCTACCCTCAAAGAAAAAATCATAACCCTAAATGCTACTGTCTCTTTCTTAAAAAATAATAAATAATTTAAATATTCAATGTAAAATTTAAAAGAATAACTATGACATAAGGACATTTTTAAATATCAATCATTATAAAACAAATAAAATAGGGTAGAGTTTTAAAATGCACTCATGAGTTTAAAAAAACTTTTAAAACACACGCGCGCACACACACACACACACACACACGCACACCCATGCATTTAGAGATGGGGTCTCACTCTGTCTCCCAGGGTGGAATGCACTGGCATGACCATAGCTCATTTCAGCCTCAAACTCTTGAACACTTGGACTCAGATGAGTCCAAGACTGTCCCCACCTTAGAACGAATTGCAAGTCCCAGGCCTTCTGTACTTCTGACCAACCAGCTATAAATGATGAGTTCCCATGACCCTGTCCTTGGGTTTGATAATCTGCTGGAATGACTCACAGAACTCAGGGAAAACAGTTCACTTACTATTACCAGTTTATTGTAAAAGATACTATAAAGCAGTGGTCCCCACTCTTTTTGGCACCAGGGACCAGTTTTATGGAAGACAATTTTTCCACGGATGTGGGGCGGGGGGTGGAGCTCAGGCGGTGATGTGAGTGATGGGGAGCAGCTGTAAATACAGATGAAGGTTCGCTCACTTGCCTGCTGCTCACCCCTTCCTAACTCTCATGAAGGCAATTTTTCATGGATGGGGCTGAGGGGTGGCAGAGCTCTGTGCCAGGTTCCTAACAGGCTGTGGACCAGTATGGTCCCTGGCCCAGGGGTTGGGGACCGCAGCTATATAGGACACAAATGAATGGCCAAATGAAGAGATAACATAGGGTGAAGTCCAAAGAGTCCCACAGCTAGGAGCTTCTGTCCCTGTGGAGTTCGTGTGTGCCACCCTCCTGGCCCAAGGGTATGTTCATCAACCTGGAAACTCTTCGAATCCTTTTGTTTAGGGTGTTTCATGAAGGTTCTATTATGTAGCCGTGATTAATTAAATCATTGGCCTTTGGTGATTGATTCAATCTCCAGCCCTTTTCCTCTTCCTGGATGTGGAGGAGAAGGGGTGGGACCAAAAGTTCCACTTCTGTAATCATACGGTTGGTTCCTCTGGCAACCAGCCCCCATTCTGAAGCTACACAGAGGCCTACCAACAGCTACCTCATTAGCATAACTCTAGTATGTTTGAAAGGGGCTTATTATGAATAACAAAGCTTTTCTCACCCTTATCACTCATGAAATTACAAGGGTTTTAGGAGCTCTGTGCCAGGAACCAGGGATGAAGACCAAATATATTTCTTATAATATCACAATATCACATCAATAACAATAGAAGAAATTATAATTTCCATATAGAGAATACCAGATTCAGCTTAATTCTGCTAAACTTCAGTGAATAATTCTAATTATCTATATAAATACTATTCTAAAGTTAAACAAAAACATGAACATAGTCCAAATTCATTTAACAAGGTTAGCGTAAGATTGATACTAAATCTGATTAAAGGCTAACTACATTTATGAATAGAGATGGAAAAATATAAATAAAATACTAGAAATGCTAAGCCAGTTGTATACAAAAAGCCTAACACAAACAATTGGATATGGTTAATACTATGAATGGAAAAATATTAATAAAAGGCACCATATCAAAAAGTCATAGGAAAAACATCCCATGATCATTTTAATTAATGATGAAAGTGATTGTTTTAATTGATACTGATAAACATACATTTCTAATTATAATTATTTCAAGTATTTCAAAATTAAAACTATTTTCTACATGAGGGCTGGACCATACTCTGATTCATTTAATTTCAATAAGACAGAAATTTTAGAATACCAATTAACAAAAGCTGGTCAGAGTTTCACGTGGTTTTTTATTCCGTAAAACACAGCAGTCAACAATTAGATTCATGCCCATAGTGTTTTTGACTGTTTTGATGCTCTACCCTTAGGTAGGAAACTTTAAGTATTTGAGTGGTGCTGGACACCCTTATGGCATTGCTACTTATGCTTGGAGCAGATAACAACAAACCACTGCTTAGGAAACCACTGCTTTTATGATCAATCGCAAGGCAAACTTTCAGTCCGTGCCTGGTGTAATCCCTTTAGGCTTCAATCCATGGGCAAATCCCATCAGAACCTACTTTTGTAGGGAAACAAATGAGAAAGTCTTTCCCTAGACAGATTAAAGACAATATGCTTCCCATCTTATAAATATACAACCTTGGCTAATCTTGTTTAGAACAATTGATTGACTCATGCAACAAATATTTATCAAGCATCTATTACATGCCAGACACTGCATTAAATGTTGAAGATATACTAATGCATAAAAATTATCACAGAGTTTACATTTTCAAAGGGAGAAGAGACGATAAACAAATAAAATATAAGATATGCCAGGCACTATGAAGAGAAGGTAGTGGGGCTGATGATGCTATTTAAGATATGACAGGGAAGAGTCTCTGGTAAGGTGACACTGGAGTAAGAAATGAGGCTGTGAAACCACAGCTCAGAGGATTCCAGGTTTAATATTCATAACCTGTTCCCAAGAAGGAAAAAGTGATTAAATCGTGATAAATAAGAGAATTCGCAGACCTCATTGCGGAAATCTTCTTAAGGTCCCTCACAAAAACAACTCTTAGTAAAGACCCAAACAATACTTCTTCAACATGGCAAAGATTATCTATCATAAAATAAAAACTTCCCTCATCCTTATTAAGGCAAGAGTTCCCTATCGCCACCGCCGTACCACTACTGGTTAACGTTCTGAAACTTCTAACCAAAACACTAACGTAAAACAGAAATAAGATACACAGTTATCAGAAAGCGTCAACCTAAATAACAGAGAGATGCTCTCTAATAGAAAAGACATTTATTTGTGAATAGAGCATTGCAATGGGAATAAACATGCCAAAGTAAATTATGTGTGTATTCAAGGAGGTAAACGAAGACAAAAGTTTTTAAAGGAAAAAATGAGGGTATTATTTAACAATAACAATTATAACAATTGTGTAATTGTTTTGTTATGAAAATTAATAATAAGGGTGATGTCAGTCTGAGGTTGGACAGGCAAATGGTGGGCAGATATCCTTGCAAAAGTATTTTTTGTGCAAGATTGCAATGGCCTTTCAGTAAGGCTGTGGTTTTTGTAGAGTCTTTTGTGATAGTTTTTATCAGGCATACAAGCATGAGAACCCTCTTTTAATGACCTTCCTCGGCCCCATTTTTCAGTGTTTTAACATTAGTTGACTCCCGTTTGATTTTGGCAACTTTCACAAAAGAATAAATCTTTTTTCTATTTGCAGATAATATCGCAGATGATATTGCAGATGATTTTTTTCTTTGCATAGAAAATGCAAAAGACTCAAATAGAAAAATTCTAGGAATTTTGTATGATCAGATATAAGTACATAGA